GCACTGTCTTCCCCTACATCTACATCTGCAACCTTCTCAAAACTATTTACAAAACCAATGGGGTTGTCACGTACCTTGTCACTCCTACTTACCTGTACTTTCCTTCTTGGAAGATGTTTTTTGACCTTAAAGGAAGAGAAGATTGTAGGTACAGCTGTGCTCTTCAGGCAAAGTCTCTCCTAAAATAAAATAATAAAAGAGATTCACATATACACACACATCAGACAAGGTCAATTTCTGTATCTCAAAAACCCACTGGTACACCAGAGCACTGTGTGTGTGTGTGCGTGCGCATGCTTGCGTGCATGCATGCGTGTGTGTGTGTGTGTGTGTGTGTGTGGTGTGTGTGTGTGTAAAAGCCATGTTGAGAGTGTTTGCTATTTATAAAGCATTTGTTGTTAGATTTTATCCAGAATCCAAACTTTGAAAACATACATTTTAATTACAGTTTAATTTACTTGACACCAGTAGAATGTTGGATTATTTTGTTAATTTCTCCTTAAATGCCAAACTCTTTAGTTTAAAATGAATATTTTTCATTAATCCCAATACATAAAGTTACATATTAAAGACTGACAATTTTTTTTATTTGTTTATCAGAATAAATATCCATAGAGTTATATGGAAATTAATAACATGATTGTTTCCCCATCTAAACAGCCTCAGTCACAGACAGTTCAAGGTAGAGGGCTGCATCGGGATTGGGTCACGCGGGACCCAACACAAATCTTGCGGGGGCGGGCGGTGTGAATTTTGCTGCGGGCGGGAACGGTCGACTAAAATAAACAGTGCGGGATCAGGATGAGTATGATGGGGTCCGCAACTGAGGTTGAAAAGAAACTGAAACAAGGTCTTTATGACACAAAAACCAAAGCAAGGCAAATCAGACATTTGGAGGAGTTTCTCCGATTGTGTTAATATTTCTCATTCAGGTCTCTCTTAGAAAAGCGACCTCAATGACTGCCTGATTACAGAGGAGAATAGAATATGAACCGGCCTTGATTTCATTAACCCTTTAAGCACCACACAGTAGCTCCTTTGTGTTTTTTTTTAAATGTTATAGTTTAAGTAGCGATAGGGATGCACTGATCAAGTTTTTTGCTGACGATCATCGATACCGATATCAAAGAATGCTGATCACCGATACCGATCAAGTGGATTGGCCAGAAATTTTCTACAACATTATAATGAGTGCTACAAACTACATAATCTGGGAATAAAGTAAATGTAACGTAATCTAAAATGGTCTGTATTAGGGTTGTCAAGGTGTGAAAATTTAACCTCACGGTTATTGTGACCAAAGTTACCACGGTTTTCTGTGTTATCGCGGTATTTTTTTTAAACGTGTTACATTTTCACACAATTAGATAAACCCTGTATGTCAGGAAATATTGTCCTCAATTTGTGTCTAAATTTTGCCTAAAATGTGTTATTTTGTAATGATGTTGTTTATTTGTTTACATTTTTTCCCTTTAGTCTTTAAAATAGCAATATTTGCCCATAACTTCTTATTTTGTCTGTTTGATGTCATCAATTAAAAAATATTAGATCTGATGATACTCAGTATTCAAGTAGCCTTCTAATTAGATACTTATTTTACCCTTACGTAATAAACCCTATATCAGAAAAATATTGTCCTCGGTTTGTGTCCTTCCAGTGAGCTTTGCAGATGTGGGAAAATGTCATCGGGCAGTAATCATTGTTAAACTCATAATTATTCTCTGAGAGAGACCAACTCTTATCTGCCCCTGGGAGCCCTGTAATGCATAGCATCATTTCAATATGGGGGTGTCCGTGACACGGTTTATATGCAGGTAGCTGCGCTGCGGCTGCTTTATATAGCGACTCGTTGCATTCTCCCTCAACCCAAATCCTCGGATCACGCATTTTAGCTAAAACGCTAACGTTAGCTTGCCGTGCGTTGACTGTAGAGTTGTGGGTGATGGTCATGCAGATGTGTCATGAGATTTGAAGCGTTGCTGCCTTTCACAGACACTTTTTCTGCACGTGCTGCAAACAGGATAGCCGTCTTCTATCAACTGTCCCTCTGCATTCTTCAAATATCCAAAAGATGCCCGTACTTCCGACTTTGTCTTCTTTGAGCGCTGCCGTCTCCTCCTTTGGCCATTATTTCAGCTTTAGCTTCAAGAAAGTTTTGGTTGTAAACAACAAAGCGTGCATGTGCCGCCGGCAACGTCAGCAGATGATACGGTGGCTGGTAAGGGTCACTACGCCTACACTGCAGCCACGGTAATCCCCCGAGATTTTTTTTTTAAACAAGACGGTTATTATTATTGTCAACTTTTTTTTTTACCGGGGTTTACCGCTACACTGGTTACCGTGACAACCCTACCTGATCGGTCTGCTTTGATCTATTTTGAAAACTCTGATAAAAACCGATAGGGGCGCTATCGGCCGATTGGGATCAAATGCCGATCCATCGGTGCATCCCTAAGTAGCGAGGAGTAATTTGAAATCACATGCGCCGAGGCGTCACCGGTGATCCTGGTGACACATCGGCGTTAAAGGGTTAAAAACTAAATGAAAACAGAGTGCGTCAATCCTGACCAATGTGTTAAAAGACGTGCAGGATCTGATCAATTTGTTTTTCCCTCATTTACAGTCACGGAGATAACAGCGCAGTGCTCTGGTAGTAATCAAGTAAAATTTTATCTCTTTCCAACAATTTTCACAAGAAAACAAAACAGTTCAAAGCAGGGCTTGTGTTGTGTTGACTGGATAGTTCCCGCATTTGACCGTTTATTTTGACTGAGAAAGAATAGAAAGAATTACCCTGACGCATGCAGACGAACTGACATTTTATTTGATACGCACATCGCAGATGTAGCTAAATCACCCAAGAAAAGATTCCCATCTGAACATCTGAGCTGGACACTGCTCAGCACAGCTCACTGTCAGCGCATATGTGCACAGCGAGCTGAAGATGTGAGGAGGGGTTTGGAGCTCGTCGCAGAACCAGAACTATGCAGGAAGGTTCCTCCCACTGAAGCGAGTGTTTTCCAAACTCTGTCTCTCAGAGAGACTTGTCACTTAGAAAATTTTCCCTGATTATGAAACTTTGGCTGAATAGTGCTTGTTCCTGTCTCCAATGTGGCAACGCATCCATGAGCCGTCTGAGTAAAAGCCCAGAATCTCACATCCTCTTCAGTTCAGAAAGCGCCTATTACCCCTGCTTTCCACAGGAGCCGTCAGCAGCACGTTACTGCAGCAGCACGTCATAGCTGCTGATAGGAACCGCTGTGGTCAACAGAACCTTTTCCACAGGAGCCGTCAGCAGCACATTACTGCAGCAGCATGTCATAGCTGCTGATAGGAACCGCTGTGGTCAACAGAACCTTTTCCACTGGAGCCTTCAGCAGCGCGAGTCGGCCGCGTCTCAGGAGCAGCATTACGCGCCTGTTCTATTTTCTACGCTCGACGCCTCTGAAACGGGTCAAGTTCGACATTTTTGGGCAAGGAAAGACAGGAAATCGGACGCAGAAATGGAGAGAAGCTCCCGAGATTTTCAGAATAAAGACACGTACTGCCTTCTGGTTGCTTTACTTTTAAAAAAAGTTACTAAATGTGCGGCCCCGTGAGAAGTTATCACCTAGCTAGCGGTCTCCTTTGTTTTTCAGGTCCGTATTGGCAATTATAAAACGGACAGAATATAAAACACAAACCTTTTGGAGCCATGTTGTAGTTTTCTCCTGCTTGTTGTTGTGTTTACTGACGAAGTCACTCGTGTGACTTCGTGCTCAGTCGGTGACAGCTGCTCCCCTGCTGCTTCGCGTCTCGTGGGAAGGGCCAAGCAGCAGTTTACGTGAGCAAGACGTGCTGCTGCAGTAACGTGCTGCTGACGGCTCCTGTGGAAAGCAGGGGTTACACAAAAGCGTGACCCGTCAACACAGTCTCACAGTAAGACTGGGTTGGAACTGTTCAGGTTTACGCAGACAATATTTACATTTAGAATTGACATAATTAATTCAGTAAAATATAAAGCATTTTATTTAAATATCCATTCATTATTTTACAAGCACAGAGAGCCGCATCAGATGGATGGAAGAGCCGCAAGTTGCCGACCCCTGGTATAGCCTATAAAATGACATGTTTTCTCCAGGACCAGAGAGGACACAAACTCAATACATCTCTTTCATTGTGAGGTAATAATTTCTCTGAGTTTTGCGGTTGGGGGCGGGAGTAGACATGCACACTGCGGGTGCGGGCAGGAGTGTAACACACACGTTGCGGTTGTGGGCGATAATGGTCAAAAATTCAGCGGGAGAGGGCAGGAGCGGGATGAAGAAAACAGTCCCGCGCAGGGCTCTCGTTCAAGGGAGAGGGAATTTTTGTTTTTGTTACACAGCAATGTAACATCTGTATATTATACAGCTAATGCTTCAATTTTTTTCAATCTTAACCAAAATATGAAATAATGTGTTTGTACCCTGGAGTCCGTGGTGAAGTGATGACTCTCAAAGTGTTCACTGCACAAGCGGGAGTGTGAATTGGGAGTCCAGCACTCTCTTCTTTGGTTGCTTACCCAAAGGTCAAGCCTCTCTGGATGACCTAGAGGAAAACTTCATACAAAGAACTACTTAAGCATATGGGTTTAAAATACTTAATAGCTTATCATGGCCTGTAGTAAAAAGTCTAAAATTAGGATAAAGAGTAATACAAAATGCATACTTTATAAAAAACAATATAAAACCAAACACTTGAGTCTATCACCTTATTGGAGAGGATATGAACCTTTTAATAATCAATTTTATTAACTAATTTCCATTTAATTAAACTGCACTAGTTCCCATGAGAACAGGGCACCCGGTCGCGGCTCTTTGTGGACAAATTAGTTATTTAGTCGCTCCCCACCACCACTATTTTACAAATATGCAAAAAAAAAAAAAAAACTAGTGAGTTTATCTGATGGCAAACAGACTTCTGGAGACTAACATCAAGCACTATCAACCAACTCTCCGAGCTTTAGTATTTCTGTGGTCAGGTCTCTCTCAGAGTCCGAGAGCTCCACAAGCGGTCAGTCCGCGCAGCAGACAGGCGCCGAAGCGGTCAGAGATGCGCCGGGCTGACCGCTGGGGAGAACTAAGTGGAAGAATGGAACACAGAAGTCTCCCTCAGAGAGCTCCGTCATATTTCAACCCATTTTTATGTTAAATGCACTGGGTTTTACCATGGTTTTACCCATCGACATAGACCCTATTAATTATTTTACCGTATTACATCTAAATTTCATGGTTAAACAGTACATGTTAAAATGGTAGTTAGCTAGCTACTTTGATAAGCTCAGCTAATGCAAAAGCGGCAGTGACCTAAAATACATGAATATAATTTTACTTACCGAAAAAAATGAAGTGGAGACTCCTTGGACGCTCTATTAGTGCAATTAATACCACAGCCAGTCATTTTGTCCAACATTTGCACAGATAATATCCAAAAAAGAATACACAAACGTTACAACTACTGGTCTAAGTTCAGAGACTAAAAATCGCAGAACAGTTTTCAGGCTAGACTGAGGCTCAGACCGAGCTACTGAGGCCTTTCCACGGATTAATTATACAGAATTTTAGGCATTTAATACACTTAAACAGAAGAGTGACAGAAGATTCACCCCCCTCAGAGTTGTCATGAGTATAAACTAGATCAATTAAACCTAAAACATGTTTTGGAACCAGGCTATAAACATGTTTATTTCTGCTGTGAAATTGGTATTTTTAACATGGGAGTCAATGAGGATTTGCTCGCTTCTGACACCAGCCCCATGCGGATGAGGGTGGAACTAGGGCTGGGCGATATGGCAAAAATAGAATATCACGATTTTTCAAATATTTTATCACGATTTCGATTTTATCACGATTTTTTATCCATGAATAGCATAACTTCTATTGCGTATTAAAGAAGAGAAACATTGAATAAATAAACATTTATTCATATTAGGGATAATCAGCACAGTGCTAACACACTTATATTTTAAACTAACACCAGAGATGATAAAAGCCCTGAGAGAAACAATTACAAAAATCAGTTTTTCTCGTTTTTCAAGTAACTTAACATAAATTAAAATCGTAAACATATTTAAAGTGCAAACATGTCAATTGCAAACGTATTGTGCAAACATTAACTTGTTCAAAATACTATGTAGCTCCCAGTTGCTCATGTAGTGGATAGTTAAGCTCAAATACGGCTCTGATGTGCGGCTGGACCAGAGATCGCTTGTGGTAGCAAAAAACTGCGCATTCTGAATATTTTCTGCAACAAGTCTCTAAATAAAGTAAAAATTTCCAGTGCAGATTGGAGACAACCCATAGAAGCACTGATTTGATCTCATTTCAGAGAAAAATAGAACAGGTTAGATGCACCTAATAAATAAAATTACTAACAAACTCAGGAATCTTTCTTTGCTTCACTGTTCTGGTGCTGAGAATATCACTAATGCGGATGAAAGGAGATACACAGATGAATTATTTGGAGATTTATTATTTGGAAACTACATTTACTGCAGCTGGCAGAGGCAGAGATTGTTTCTATTGATACACGGAATTTACAGAATCATTTTAAATTGTAATAGGGGAAGACTGCAGGAGGGAGCGGTAAAATGCAGGGGGTCCCCAGCAAAAACAAGAAACTTTACGAGTCTGATGAAACCCGCTGGTTTTCCATCAGGCAGTCACGGGGCAGCTCCAACGACCCAGTGACCGAGCTCAGTCCGGCTCAGCAGAGGGTGAACGAGCCGAGGCGACGTCGTGCTCTGCTTAAGAAGCAGTGTTATTTTCCTGCTTCAGAAGAAGCGTCCAACATGTTTTTACGCTTTCTCCGAGACATGTCACGTCGCTAAGTTGTTAGCGCTGCGCACTAAGGAAACCCTGCGTTCCTCTTCGGAACGAAAACCTCGTTGTCGCTCTCAGCCGCAGCCGAAGCCATGCTTGTTCACACACAGGTGAAAACAAGCGGGGCACTAATATATTACTATGACTCACTCTGATTGGTTAAGGGTCAAACAAAGGCATGTCATTTGCCTGAGGTAAGTTCCCTTTTCATTCAAAGGCAGAAATTCAACAGCAGAGCTGTGAATCGTGATAAAAAGGTCTCTCAAAAATGACAGACCGTCAGATGTGTAGATCGTAAAACGGTCTAAAATCGTCATATCGCCCAGCCCTAGGTGGAACTGCAATTTTTCTCATTCCGTATTGGCTTCATTTTCAGACCCAAATTATGGGGGCTTGGGTATAAATAAAACGGTATGGTATGGTAAATATGGCATCCACATGAAACATATAGATCCAAAGAGTTTGTTTTCGGGGGGAGGGGGGTCAATTAATCGCCAGTTTTATTGACGATTGATTAGTCAACTAATCGTGTCATTCATAAAAGTTTAGCTTATTGCACCAAGATGCTCTAATATACCTATCTTTAGCTTCTATTTTCAATTGTTTTCAACTGTATATAAATCTAATCAGTCGAATAATAAAGACAAGATGATAGCTTCTCAAACTACTTTTAATTAACTTTGTAACCTATTAAAACAAAATAAATGGTAAAATGTAGGTAGGCATCTAAAACCAAAAATAAATAAATTGTACACAAAAATGACTTGTGTTCACAAGAGGCATGGCGGCAAGGTTGAAGCTAGGGCTGCAACAACGAATCGATAAATTCGATGAAAATCGATTACTAAAAGCGTTGGCAACGAATTGCGTCATCGATTCGTTGTGTCGCACAACTCTTCCAAAAGCGCCCCCCCCCCCCCCCCCTCCCCGCCCGCCGTTGCGCGCAGACCAGAGCAAGTCAGATCAGCGCGAGGGAGAGCCGCAGATCAGCGCGAGGGAGAGCCGCAGATCAGCGCGAGGGAGAGCCGGCAGATCAGCGCGAGGGAGAGCCGCAGATCAGCGCGAGGGAGAGCCGCAGATCAGCGCAAGGGAGAGCCGGCAGATCAGCGCAAGGGAGAGCCGGCAGATCAGCGCGAGGGAGAGCCGCAGATCAGCGTGAGGGAGAGCCGGTAGCGGCAGATCAGCGCGAGGGAGAGCCGGCAGACTTGCGCTGCTGCGAACCGGTTCCGCATTGTTGCACAGCGATCCAGGCAGCTGCTTCCAGCGCACGGTCCATTCTCAAAGTGGCGCAACCAAAAAACTATAATTAGCACACGATCGTTCATGTCCGCACATGTTCTCTATTTTCTGTCTTATTTGTGCCTGAAGCGCGCTACTGCGGAGCTCATCACCTGTGCTGTGGTGATGTCACCTCACGCAGCATCGAAAACGCGCTCTCAGCTTTTCGGTCAGGAGATCCCTTTGATCTGCTCAAAAGTAACTGATGAGGTGAAAAGGTAAGAATCCAGGCAACAGATTTTCTGGAGTTTAGAGGAGATGCAGGAAGATGAGAGACAGACAGGACAGGAAAATAGTTCAATAAAAACAAGAAAACAAAACAAAGTGTTGAAAAGTAAAATGTAGGTAGATTTATCACCACTACACGTTTTTACCTATAAAAAACATTAAGTTATACACATGTAATATTTACACATCTGATACAATTCAGATCACCTTCAAAACTCAGTCACACACCCAATGCCGTTTCAAGACATTTTGGGGGCCAAGGCAAAATGCCCCCCCCCCCAATAACTGGGCTCCCCAGAAGCCTCTGTGTAATTCATGCCCTCTCCAGTAGTGTTAGTTATATGGTGATTATAAAAGCCCCTCAGACATTACTGACATGTTCTAATATTATCAGATGAAAAACTAAATTATCAGACATGCTGTCTCATCTGCTTCTTTTATAAACTTGCAAAAAGTAACAAAACCATTTGAAAGCCACTATTTGTGGATTCTCTGAAAGTTTCCATGGAGTGTGTGACAACTTATTTTTTCATTGATCCTATCGTCTAATCTCACAGCTGAAACAAGCATCCTTAATAATCTGTGCACAGGAAGCTTACCGATGCTGTAGTAAAACAAAAGGTATAATAATTTATTATTAATAAAATCTTGTTGCAGCACTAAAGCAGAAAAATTAGATTTTGCATTAAATATGCAAAATATTTACATATGAATTGTTTTAGAGCCCTTTAATTGGCAGAGTCTGATATTAATTTAGTTCTTACAAAAAATGGGTCCCAACATGGTTTGTGTGGCGTTGCCATAGTGTGACGTCATAGGCACAGATCCCCTGTCCTCTTGTTTGGAAATGGAAATATGGTCACCCTACATTAAACAAACTGTCCACCCGGGCTTTTGCACTGCACAGAGACGCTTCGCTGCCTATGACTGAACGTCAGTTGAGAGTCAGTCTCATGCAGACTAACCAATGAAGAGAGGGCCTCAAGTTAAGACCCTCTCCTCATTGGTCAGTCCACACGAGGTGGGTCAAAGGTTACTCTGGGCGGGTTACGTGTTGTCAGGCATTCAAGTATTGAGTATATTTACTGCATATTACAGTAAAATATTCTGTATGTGACCACATTATGGTGATCCTTGGGTCGTGATGATGGAGCCCTTGAATATTGTTGCCCAGGGTACAACAAAGTGTTAATCTGGCCCTGGTTCCGCCGTCACATTCCCGCAGAAACTGGTTGATCACACCGGGGCCAGACTACTAGCATGTGGTTTTACAACCACAGTGTCCTCAGAAGCAAAAACGCTTTTAAAAGGGAGGGAGGAGTCCTAACTGTTGCTGCAGGCGTGTTGTGTGAGAGTGCAGTTATATACTGGTTAATATATTTTTGGGTTCAATTGCTTTCATGTGGCCTAATGTGAGTCTATTTGGGATCATTGGAATGATCAGCAGCATTTCTTGTTGTGACTTTATGGCAGTTGCCCAGGTCATCATCGCAAGGAGGATGGCATTCGTTTACTTTTGTTTTATTTGGTATTTTTTCAGTCATTTTTGGAAATAGTGATCAATTTTGATTAATTCACAGCCTATGTTTAATTACATTTAAAATAAATGTCAACAGATGAGATCAAACAAAACAGATGAGAATTGCCCTTAAGCTGTTTAACTTGGACCAAGCATTTTAGGTCACAGATAGATGTAGCTTAGGGTCTCTGTCTATACACCTTAAAAGACAATTTAGGTGATGGCATGTTGTTTTTCTGCTATTGAACTGTTTTCTAATAATGTTGTGTTAAATAAAGTGAAGGAAGGAGAGAAATAACGTTTCCCTAGCAGTTTTTAAAAATTTCCCCATGTAATCCGATTAATCGATTAATCGTGTCGAGACCCCATCCGATTAATCGATTATCCAAATAATCGTTTGTTGCAGCCCTAGTTGAAGCACATTATCTTCCTATCTTAACTCAGGAAATGGCAGAACACACCAAGGTACACCTTGGTAGCACAGTTGGTCCACATGTTAGCGGTCAGGGGACCATTGATAGCTCTGAGGGTCTGCGTTACCGTAAATATAAAATATATACATAAGTTAGTTTATTTACCAAATTAATAATTCTGTTATATCAAATAAAGATGGTTAAGATTTAACACAAAGAAAATGTACTATGCTGTAAAATATTAGTTTCTTGATTTCTCAATCAGCAACCTTTTTATCATAAAATTATATTCAAATGTTTAATTTATTTGTGTCCAGAGAGAAACAGATACAAAGACGCATACATGCACGCACACAGACAAAGACACACATACCTTAAAGGTTGTTTCATATCATTGTGATGAAGAGGGGGATCGGTCTGGTAGGTAGCTGTCATGGTGTCCTGGGTTGAACTGCTTGATCATCTCTTTGAAATCTTGATCGATCAGCTTGGACAGGAGTCTTGTGACCAACATGCTCACAATGGCCTCGGTCAGGACGTTAGCTTGCTGAGGTGTGCACGTAACAAACTCGTCCGTTGAAGGAGCACTTTTATTTACACTGTAATGTAGTGGGATGAAATAAATCATTAGCATTTGTAATTAGAGCAAAAATACATGACAATTTTGGAAAATAATCTAATTGCGATTTTTTCTTCAATATTGCAATTGCGATTTAATTCACGATTATTTTCTCAAGGGGCTTTTCTCATATTTTCCAACTAACGGAAGCAAAAAAAACTATGTAACTTTATTGGAAAAAAAAACAAGTCTATGTATCTACATATTTATCTACATATCATATCAACAAGTTTATTTGTCAACATATTAGGGCTATCAGCATGTCTGATAATTTAGTTTTTCATCTGATATTATTAGAACATGTCAATAATGTCTGAGGGGCTTTTACAAACACAGTATAACTAACACTACTGGACAGGGTTTGGATTACACAGAGGTTTCTGGGGAGCCCAGTTATAGTGGGGGGTGTTATGTTTTGCCTTGACCCCAGAATGCCTTGAAATGACCCTGGGTGTGTGACAGAGTTTTGAAGGTGATCTGAATTATATCAAATGTATAAATATGACATGTGTATCTTCTTGTTTTATACAGGTAAAAATGTGTAGTGGAGATAAATCTACCTACATTTTACTTTTCAACACTTTGTTTTGTTATCTTGTTTTTATTTAACTATTTTCCTGTCCTGACTGTCTCTCATCTTCCTGCATCTCCTCTAAACTCTCCAGAAAAGCTGCTGCCTGGATTCTTACTTTTTCACCTCATCAGTTACTTTTGCGCAGACCAAAGGAATCTCCTGACCGCAAAGCTGAGTGCGCGTTTCGATGCTGCGTCAGTGAGGTGAAATCACTGCAGCACAGGTGATGAGCTCCACAGTAGCAGAGCACTTCAGGCACAAATAAGACAGAAAGTAGAGAATATGTGCGGACATGAATGACCGTGGGTTAATTATAGTTTTTTTGGTTGTGCCACTTAGAGAATGGACCGTGCACTGGACGCAGCTGCCTGGAGCGCACCAACGATGTGACCTGAGAGTGAGAATAATCTCTCACAAGGCACTGTGGTTGCAGGGGTTGACAGGTACTTGCATGCAACAGGTGCCAGTCTGGAATGTGCTTCTTCTCTCTTCAACCACCACTGTAATGGACAGTGTCCAATATCCATTTTGGGCTCTGCTTTGTTCCGATCTAGACAGCGCTCCATGAACAGCATTGTCCATGCTAGCAAGCTTTTCCTCTCCTTCTATTTTTCTGCTGCTGCTGCTTCTAATCATTTCCAGCAGGTCAGACACCAGCATAGCGCAATGCTGCCCCCTCCTTCAGAGCTGCTCATGAGTTTGAGGTGTCAGATTACATAAAATTAAAAAAACTGTATTAATTATGTTTATTTTTTTATGCATTTAACATTTCACATTAATTCACTAAATTAACGTGTTATTTTTCACAGCACTACTACATACACATAAACACGCACAAGACAAAATTTTGTATTTGAAGGTGCAATGCTTTGCAGCCAGGACCACATCCCTTGAAGGAGCAAAGGTATTAGCATCAACTGTGAAAATTTATTAACAAGAATGAAGTGTGTCCCATTTATTGAAGTCTTTTGTGTTTAGTTTTCGACATCTTGTCCATGTAGAGCTTCCGTAGTTCAGTTACGTTCATAGCTGCTAGCGAAAACTCTGGAGTGGAAGTCTCTTACAGTTTTCTAGCTTTACTAAAATACCTGTCTGTGCTTATTCGATTGATGGCAGTTTTTATTTTTAATTAGACTCCAAATGTAATAATTTGGCAGGTTCCC